GGTCTAATTTTTCAAATTAAAAATAAAAAAAGGGGTGTGTAAAGCCACCCGCAGGTAGAGGGTAACTTTGACTCACCCATCATTTTACATTGTTTTCTCCATAATATTACCTGCTGGTTTAAAGCCACCCATCACAGTTGATAGTAAAACACATTTTGCATACAATTTCGATCACTTTTCAATTTCCATTATTTTGCAATGAGTTAACTTTTTTATACTACAAAAAGCGTAAGCGTCCAATTGTCTTTAAATAAAGTGTTTTTGGTAGTTTTAATACCTTACGGTTCAACCAGCGTGAGTTTTATTTTAAAAATAGGACATATAATTTTTTGTAAACAAAAATAAATATTTACTGATTTGAGCTAAAGTCACCCATGCGGGTCAGTCACCCGACTTTACGGTACCGTCAAACGGGGTGAATAGGGACGATTTTTATACATTATTATTAATATTTTCTTCTAAAACTATCGAAGAAAATTAAAATTTAGGGGAAAGTGATCGTAGTCAATACTGCTGCTGAAATATGTATTGGATAATTACCTGATTTGAATAAATTAATTAAAAAAATATATATAATATGGTGTGTCCCGATTGACCCCGTTTTGGGGCGAATTGGGACACGCTATTTCAAGCCATGCAATGTGCATGTCGCCTCGAGTATGGGGTTAATCGGGACAAAAATAAATAAAAATATTATTTTTTATTTAATATAAAAGGTAAAAAAAACAACAATGAAATTTTGAAATAGCCTTTATTTTATAGTTTTAAAGTGCATAGGATTTTAGCTTCATTTGCAAAGGAAATTCGTAGCCTCCTCGTCGCAATTTAGTTGGTTTAGGCAGTTTTTTCACAATTTGTTCCAAGCTAATCATGCATATGTCATCCACTGTGGGAAAGATATAGCAATTTTTTATCTTTCTGTTAGGTCTAAGAAATTTAACTTCAAAAGTTTCATCAAAGATTCCCTTAATTTGCCCGATGAAATATTTGTTCACTTTGTTTGTTTTAAATTCAACCTCTACAAAGTTGTCAGTTGCGATGTTTTCCATAGTAGGCTGCACATCTTTAAAGCACTCTTTCTGTTCCATTATTTCTAATTCCGGTTCTGACTCAAGTTCTGACTCAAGTTCCGAAGTTTCACTCTCTTGAGGCACTACAGTATTGCTTGTTGTTGGTTGCGGTTCTAAAAAATCTGTTGTTGAAACGCTTTTGCCTGGCTCCACTTGAATTTTCTTTTTCCTTGCTACTGTTGGTTTGCAAGCATTCCTGCTTTCGTTAAGCAATTCTACAACAGACTCCGTCCAGGCATTAGGATCGTCCTCTTTGAGATTTCTTTCTTGTGGCAATCGTTTTAAAACCTGAGTCCTATCAAGTGGAATAATTCCCGTCCCACGAAATCCGCTTTTAATATTCTGACTTAGAGTCCCTCCTAATTTGTCTATAGCACGTTTTAGCAAACTCGGAAAATACTCCTTCGACAAAGAACCCTTGTATTCTTTTTTCCAATCTTGTAGAGTTGACCTTCAAACCTTTTTCATTGGACCAAAAACAGAGACGTCAAGTGGCTGTCTTAAATGGGTTGAATTCGGCGGCAAAAAACAAAACCTAATATCATTTTCTTCGCACAATTCAATAACTCTGAGCGACAGATGACTACATAAGTTATCGCCAATGATTACCCTTGGTGCCGAACGTCTTTTCAGGAACGGTAGAGCAATAGAAATAAATAAAAACCATTCTTCAAATAATGGCTGGTGGAACCAGCCACTTTTATTTCGTCCATAGCGCGCACCTTTTGGTCCATTTGTCAACCAGGTATCGTAAAGATGCTCGCTCCTATAGACTAGAAATGGGGGTAATAGCTGGCCATCACCACTTACGGCAAACATTACTAATGTCGATGTTTTTGTTGAATCGATTATGCGTTCTGGATGTCTTGTTTTTCTTTTTACGATGATTTTTTTCCGTCCGGGATCATCTACAAAGCAAGTTTCATCATAGTTGATGATGGATTCAGTTTCAACGTTTTGTAAGTTTTCTTGGAGGTGGTCAAAATATTTATTTATTATTTCCCGAGACACTGCTGCCCGAGCTCGTTTAATATTTTCACACAGTCTTTCAGTGAGTGATTCTTTATGACGCAAACAAAACAAATTCGCCCAATCAACACCGGGCATATTATTATTAAATTTTGCCACTCTTATTTCTTTTCTATCAAGATATGCCTTAACGATGTATCGAATATCAATTTTTTCCAACGGGTATCCCCACTCTCCCGCCAATACTATCAAATGCACTAGCCTACTTTCCTCACCTTCTGACAAAATAGTTTGCCCACCATGTTTATTCGGCTTCTGTTTAGCATGTCGTTGTAGCGTCGATCTTGGTATATTATATAACTCTTCTGCTTCTCGAAGGGTTATTTGGCCCTTCTGAATTGCCTTAAAGCCGTTTCAAGCTGCTCTTTACTATAATTTTGGTAAAACCTAGTCCCAGGCGTTCTTTTGTATTTTCGGACCATCGTCCCGATTCACCCCTAGAACTGATTTGTTTTTTTCATTAATTAATAATAAAAAAACTTTACAAAATAATTTATTCAAAGACTACTTAACATCTAGAAAATACCCACAGGTATACTATATTAACAATGCAATACTCAAATCCTACAATAAATACCTTCTTCAAACGAAGTTTTCAGCCGGTTTTAAAAACGTAAAATTATACTGCAATATTTTGACACCTGTACCAATGAAGCGTTGCGAATTAACTGACGGCGACATACGAAGGTCAAACGATTGTGGTTTCTGCAATAGGCTTTTCATATTACCCGTCCTAAAAACATTGGCTACAAGCATAAAAATCACGTGTTTGTAAATTAACGTCATACTGTTCCGATTGACCCCTTAGTCCTGATTCACCCCGTTTGACGGTATCCCAAAATAAATAAAAAAAAATAATTTAAAAATTGCTCAGGTATTTCATTCAGTCTCTTTATATGTACAAAGTACAGTGTGTCTGATTAAGGACTGCTAGAGACTGTATTTCATATTATCTTAAAAGAAAAAAGTTAATTTTTTTTTCATATGAGACACGTTACCATCATATTGCCAACTGTTATGTCCCTTCTCCTTAGTAACTCAAACCAATACAATTTAAGTAAGAAAAGTACCAGCTAGATGACCCTTTAATTAAAAGTAATCCAATGAACAGTCGTATTGCTAAATTCCCTATAAATTTCCCTTTACAATCATAGGTGAAACTTAGAATTGCCTCCATTTATATGAGGAATTATCCTCTGAAAAGAAAATATATAAATAATGAAAAATAGCAACACCCTGCAAAATTTTTGTCTCTTATTTTTTTTACATATCTAGTCAAAATTGGTAAATTAAGTCATGTATTTGAAGTTTGAAGCCCTACGTTTGTGCTTTGATATTTTTCAACGTTGTTAGATTGTTTCTTAGGGATTCATCTGTTCCGTTTCAATTCTGCACTTGAAAAACCCCTTATATCCTTTTTTCTAATTTAAGAGAAAGAATGAGGGAGTTTAGAATAGTTTGGTTAAATTTTATAAATGTAGTATTTATATCAGTTTTCAGTTGGGCTGTGATTTATTCCAACCTAATCGTCTTTTGTGTATTTATATTTTTATCTGGATATTAATAGTGTTTTTACAGCGGTTTATTAATATATAATAAATGTACAATTTATATAAATAAATAAATGTATAATGAACCTATTAATAATTATATTATACATATATTACCTTATAAAATAAGTAGTGTGTAATGTAGCGACATACATTAAAGTGATCTTCGCAACAGTATTTTATATATTTTATAAATTCTTACGGTCTGAAATCAGAAAATTCCCAGGGCATAAATATTCATTTTTTATTTGGAGAAGTATAATATGTTGAGTATACAAATATTCAATTTTGTACAAAGCAATTTTTTATCACATATTTCGTCTCAACAGCAAAAAATATAATAAGTGTATTGGTAATCTATATTTTAAACAAAGGCGTTTATAATAATTATATATCTGTTAGCGGTGTTTCTCTGTTTCCCACCACACATTCTTGAAGTCCATACACATGCGTGTCAGGATGGACGAACGGGAGAAGACCAGCGCAGTGGGCAGTACGCGAATAGACAGTGGCAATACCACAGCAACATTGCAATTGAGAATACTTGATCGTAAATTAAACCATTGAAAAACCAGTTTAGACCTTTTTATTAGGGATGATACATCCCTTATGTTTATATATCTATATATTTTATATTCAGTGTAATTTAGTGTAATCTAAATAAAGCAGCATTATTATTATATTTGTGTATAAGCCATAGTTAGATTAAATTAGTACCGTAAACTACTAGAATTGTCTGGATTACTTCTGAATATGCTTTTTATAAAGGCAAGCGATATAAAAAAAAGTAGCTTATTACCTCAATAGGTTTTTAAAATTAGACACTTTTCGCATTATTACTATTTATTGATTATAACACAATAATCAGTTACAATCCCTACAACGCAAATCTAGAACGTTGCCAAATTGCAAATAATAACGTAGGGCTTTTAAACTTTAATAAACCACGACATTTATAATTTTTTTCTCGAAATCGGAAATGAATGTAACCTATGTTTATACGTAAATATATGAATTTCTAAAATATAAAAAAATAAAATGAGAATTCCCCATTGTATGGGTAGAGTGACGTGTAAAAATTAAGGATGTGATAGAAAGTATAGTTTCCGTTGGAATGAAAATAAAATAGACCTGTTTTGGTTTTTTATTTCTTCTTTAAAATATTTTGTGATACAGCCGCTAACAGTCCTTAATTAGAAAACCTGTATATTGTTTACATTTATTTACATTTTGCTTAACATTTCTTGAATTTCTTCCAACGTTTTATCCTTAGTTTCGGGCAGTACAAAATAAGCTACAACAAATGACAAAACATTGCAGCAGCCGAAAAGGAAAAATGGTCCATACAAACCTCCCACCGCTCGATCTAAATAATAAAAACTGTAATTTACAAGTAAAGTTGTTAAAGCGAACGCTACAGTCACAGCACTAACACCTAGAGCTTTAACGCTAGTCGCAAACAGTTCTGTAGTCATCAGCATCGGTACTATTCCCACCCCTAAAGAAGAAACGACTACAAACGTCAACATTCCCGCTAGTGGGAACCATTTTAACGATACCAGGTCAATTTCTGTGAACATATCCAGAGAAAAGTATGTAGTTTCAGCAAATAATACCAACGCTGCTAACAGCACAGATATCATATAGGCTCTTCTTCTACCTAGCAGATTTGATCCATACGATGAACATGCGTACATGAACAAAGTCAAACCAGTATGCAACATCGCAGATGTTTGAGGCTTAATAACTCCACCGGCTTTCTCGAAGATTAACTGAGTATAAGAAGAAAACGCGTATATACCGCTAAGAGCTTGCGATGTCCTCAGAAATACACCTGCTATTAAAGCTTTTCTATTAGCTTTAACTTTTAATAGATCAATCCAGGATGCTGATTCCTGCATTTGCTGCTCTACGGCAAATTTAATATCGTCAAATTCTTTTTCAACATCTATTTTACGTCTTAAGAAGCTCAAACTTTGTTTTGCTTCGTCGTATCTTCGTACCATAACGTAGAAATATGGAGAGTCTGGCATAAATATGAACGTACTCCAGAATATAGCAGGAACCAGCAAAAATATGAAAGAAGTGGTTTGTATAGTGCAGTAACTACCAACCACGTTGACTATAAATTGTCCAGAAAATAAACATATTATTAGCATGTTACCCCATGTTCCTCTAACTTTTGGTACTGAGATCTCACCTATGTAAGCAGGTAGAGATGAAAATACGATAGCATCTCCAAAGCCAGCCAAAACCCTTGAAAAATATAACAACCATAAGTTCTTGGCAAACGCTTTTATTATTAAAGATGTTGTTAAAGGAACCGATGCAAGTAAAATTGTTCTTTTTCTTCCGATAATGTTGGCTACAGGTACAAAAAATGGCGACGTTAAAAATAATCCTAAGGGATGTAATACGGTAAACCACGATGCTTGAGACTCAGTTATGTGATAGGTTGGATCTTGAGTAACTTTGGATAAAAACGGTGATGGCCAGGCATAGAGGATTCCGCTCATGACTGCTATGGAGGAAGCTGAAAAAAGTTTGATAAGGTAAATTTAATTAATTTTGTGTTCAAATTATTCACAACTTTTAACATATAAACATAGAGCATTAATTACTAGATTGAGAAGGTATAGAAACTAAAGAAATAAAGATTTAATAAATGTTGTAGTGTTACTTAAAACAGTTATCAAACTAATTCTTTTTGTTGAGTACGAAGGTGAAAAGAAAGGTCCTTTATGTCTCACAAAGTCAATTTATTGGCGATCGGTTTCCAAAGTAATTACTTCATCATCAGTTAAACCTGGATGAAAAGTCATGGAGTCAATGTATTGAAATGTGAAATAATACAAATAAAAATTGAATAAAAAAAATTAAAAAATTAAAAAAGAACGAAAAGGGAAGCTTAATAATAATTAAACTTACATACGGATAAGCTGCGTAATCTTTAACCTGTGAGCTGACCTTTTTGGACACCATCTAATTGGATCTTTTTTCTACCCGGCACCTTGAATGGAGAAATGTATCTAGATCTGTTGTAAAATTCCATAGAACCTGCCATTACTCAAATTATGGAAAACGATGAACACTATTTACCAAATCGAATAATATTATGCACAACAGGTGCGAGTGAATTTAGATTAAGCATTTCCAGAAAGGTGGATTGGTAGAGGGGTGCTATTGAATAGCCCTCAAGATCTCCAGATTTGTTTCCGTTAGATTTATTTTTGTAGGGACATCTGAACTCTAAAATCTATAGTACTCAACCAATTTGCCTACATAAGGCGTTTTCGGAAACTTACTCGGATCAGAAAGATTATGGACCCTATTGTTCATTTTCCTATTGTTACAAAGCCTATCCGTATTTAGAATCTAGTAGATTACTGATCCAGCTCATTGTCAGAAATCGATTTAAGAAGAACGTGTATCACTGTATGGAAGTTTATTTCAAGTGTCTTTGTAAATGAAACAAATGAACAAATGAACAAATGAACAAATGAACAAATAAACAAATAAACAAATAAACAAATAAACAAATAAACAAATAAACAAATAAACAAATAAACAAATAAACAAATGAACAAATGACAAAATGAACAAATGAACAGATGAACAAATGAACAAATGAACAAATGAACAAATGAACAAATGAACAAATGAACAAATGAATAAATGAACAAATGAACAAATGAACAAATGAACAAATGAACAAATGAACAAATGAACAAATGAACAAATGAACAAATGAACAAATGAACAAATGAACAAATGAACAAATGAACAAATGAATAAATGAACAAATGAACAAATGAACAAATGAACAAATGAACAAATGAACAAATGAACAAATGAACAAATGAACAAATGAACAAATGAACAAATGAACAAATGAACAAATGAACAAATGAACAAATGAACAAATGAACAAATGAACAAATGAACAAATGAACAAATGAACAAATGAACAAATGAACAAATGAACAAATGAACAAATGAACAAATGAACAAATGAACAAATGAACAAATGAACAAATGAACAAATGAACAAATGAACAAATGAACAAATGAACAAATGAACAAATGAACAAATGAACAAATGAACAAATGAACAAATGAACAAATGAACAAATGAACAAATGAACAAATGAACAAATGAACAAATGAACAAATGAACAAATGAACAAATGAACAAATGAACAAATGAACAAATGAACAAATGAACAAATGAACAAATGAACAAATGAACAAATGAACAAATGAACAAATGAACAAATGAACAAATGAACAAATGAACAAATGAACAAATGAACAAATGAACAAATGAACAAATGAACAAATGAACAAATGAACAAATGAACAAATGAACAAATGAACAAATGAACAAATGAACAAATGAACAAATGAACAAATGAACAAATGAACAAATGAACAAATGAACAAATGAACAAATGAACAAATGAACAAATGAACAAATGAACAAATGAACAAATGAACAAATGAACAAATGAACAAATGAACAAATGAACAAATGAACAAATGAACAAATGAACAAATGAACAAATGAACAAATGAACAAATGAACAAATGAACAAATGAACAAATGAACAAATGAACAAATGAACAAATGAACAAATGAACAAATGAACAAATGAACAAATGAACAAATGAACAAATGAACAAATGAACAAATGAACAAATGAACAAATGAACAAATGAACAAATGAACAAATGAACAAATGAACAAATGAACAAATGAACAAATGAACAAATGAACAAATGAACAAATGAACAAATGAACAAATGAACAAATGAACAAATGAACAAATGAACAAATGAACAAATGAACAAATGAACAAATGAACAAATGAACAAATGAACAAATGAACAAATGAACAAATGAACAAATGAACAAATGAACAAATGAACAAATGAACAAATGAACAAATGAACAAATGAACAAATGAACAAATGAACAAATGAACAAATGAACAAATGAACAAATGAACAAATGAACAAATGAACAAATGAACAAATGAACAAATGAACAAATGAACAAATGAACAAATGAACAAATGAACAAATGAACAAATGAACAAATGAACAAATGAACAAATGAACAAATGAACAAATGAACAAATGAACAAATGAACAAATGAACAAATGAACAAATGAACAAATGAACAAATGAACAAATGAACAAATGAACAAATGAACAAATGAACAAATGAACAAATGAACAAATGAACAAATGAACAAATGAACAAATGAACAAATGAACAAATGAACAAATGAACAAATGAACAAATGAACAAATGAACAAATGAACAAATGAACAAATGAACAAATGAACAAATGAACAAATGAACAAATGAACAAATGAACAAATGAACAAATGAACAAATGAACAAATGAACAAATGAACAAATGAACAAATGAACAAATGAACAAATGAACAAATGAACAAATGAACAAATGAACAAATGAACAAATGAACAAATGAACAAATGAACAAATGAACAAATGAACAAATGAACAAATGAACTGAATAAAGAACTGAAAGACCTCCTAAACAAGGTGTCACCCCTACTTTTCATTTAGGATATTAGGGATGTACAGTACCCTGTTCAAGCGGTTTGGAAATAAGTCTAAAGGGTTTCCCTGTCGACAAATAAATTGACGTGTTCAAGCGACTTTTATTAAATATTAAGAACCCTAGACTTGAACCATTTCATTTTCATTGGCCCACTTGGTATATACATATATTACCTTTATTAGTAACTAATTTAATTTAGAGGTAAATATTTTAAATATTGTTAACTTACCAGAAATAATAGCTAAAATTTGCGACCATTTCTTATCATTTTCAAAAATTTTAGTCGTAGATACCATTATAATAAAAATTAAAGATTATTCTCAACTTTGTATATACTACTACGTCAAAATGATAACTTTATTAACTGAAAAACACTTCTTATCGTAATAATTTTATGTAATTTTTAATTATTTACAAATATTATTAAAGAACATGACCTTCAAAACAATTTAAAACTGGATTTGTTAATGCAAGGATACTAAAATTTGTAATTCGTTCATACCTTTTTAAATTAATTAGACATGTATAAAAAAGTAAGTTAAGTTTGCATTAGTTTATTTACAAGATAAGTACATTTCGAGAACTACATTTTTCTAAATTCTTGCTGTATCTCCTCCAACGTTTTGTCGTTTGTTTCTGGAATAATATAATAAGTTATAATGGCAGCTAAAAAATTAGTCATGCCGAGTAATAGAAAAGGCCCACACAATCCAATATAGCTGTTCAAGTAATAAAAAATGTTATTCATACAAAAAATCATAATAGCAAAAGCGCAAGTTACCACCGCCATACCTTTAGACTTAATATTAACTGGAAATATCTCACCCAACATGAGTGATGGTAATATTCCAACTCCGAAAGAGGAAGACAGTAAGAATCCGATCATTCCGGCAAGTGGAAACCATTTAACAACCTCTAAATTAAATTCTGGAAATACAATTTCTATTAAAAAATAAACTCCCAACAATAACAGTACTATTCCTGTTAGTATCATTGACGTTATCAAAGATTTTCTTCTTCCTAATCTACTTAACATATAAACTACCGAACAATAACATATAAAATTTAGGGCTGTGTAAAGAATAGTAGCCATTTCTGGACTAATATTTGTACCAGATTTTTCAAAAATAAGCAATGTGTAAGAAGCAATGGCGTATGAGCCAGAAAACACTTGAGTCGATCTTAAAAATATTCCAGCACTTAAGACTCTTCGATTGAGTTTAACTGTCACTAGCTCCTTCCAGCTACCTGTTCCTGTTTGCTGATTTTCAACAGCTACTTGAAGCGCTTTTATTTCTTCCTCTACGTGTTCTTTACGTCGAAGTCGTCTTAAACTATCTATTGCTTTCTCTTCTTGTCCTTTTGTTAAATAGAAATAAGGAGATTCCGGCATAAATGAGAAAACGACCAGGAATAGAATTGGTAACGTTACAGAGATGAAAGAAGTTATTTTAACTGTAAAATATATTCCAAGTAAATTCATTAAAAATTGACCCAAAACTGAGCCTAAAATTAAACTGTTGCCCCAAGTACCTCTAACCTCTGGACTGGTAATTTCTCCAATGAAGGCCACAGCACAAGAAGTAACTATGCAGTCTCCAAATCCTGCACTTACTCTTGATGCGTATAGTAGCCATAACTGCGTAAAAAACGCTTTAATTGTCCACGATATTATAAAAGGTACTGCCGCGAAGAGTATTAATTTTTTTCTGCCAACACGATTCGCTATAGGTGCTAAAAACGGAGCCAGAATAATGACTCCAATTTGGCCCAAGACTGTGAAGTAAGAGGCTTGTTCTTCTGTGATGTCATAGTTTTCGTCTTGGACTATTTTTACTAAGAATGGAGACGGCCAGCAATATAACATAGAACTTTGGAGGACTGTTGAAGAAACTGAAATGAAACAGAAAATTAATATTCTTGGTAGCTTAATAAAGTAGATTTTAAAAGTGTAAATAACTAATTTCTAATATTTAACAATGAAATAAGATTATACATTTTCTCGAATTTGGTTAAATTACTTCAAAGAATAAAATGAAAATACAAAAATATAATGTATGTCGGCGGCGCCCATGTTTAACTATTATTTTGTTTATAGTTTTAAGAAGTTTGATTTATTGGTAGTCGGTATTTCAATAAGATAAGTTGTAAGCTTCTACTTGGTTTTTATAAGTGTTGACTTAGCAAAAATGATACACACTTGCCATTCATAGTGAGGGGCAAGGTGAGCGAAACGGAGCCAGCAGGATGTTTATAGAAAATAAGGAAGAAGAACAGATTAGAGAAGTGTGATCAATCGGGCGATGGTATGCTGGCTCCGGATCGCTAGTATCATTTCTTTAATTAATTAATAATTGATATCGTATTATTAACCGTATTTCTTTAATAATTATTTGTGTATTTGTTGTCAACATTGTTTATTATTCTATATTGCATTAACAAGTTTTACAAGTGTTAAATGTAGTGTTCTGTCATAACAACTATCCGAAATCCAACATGTATTTTAGTTGGAGCAACTAATTTCATTCATCCTGGTCATCAATAGGTCTACAATATAATGGTTATGTTGAAAGAAATAATGATATTACAATCATTGATTGACTTGCGTAGGTATTTAAAAAGGTTTAAAATTACTACAGTTAAACCTCTCATTTCGGCCACCTTTCACGAGCGGTCACCCCTCTTAACGGTCAGTTTTCGTTTTTTAAAATAAGTAAAAAATTACAAGAGACCTTCCAATACCGAAACCTTTTTAAAACGGTCACGGTCAGATAAATCACAAAATTTTAAGAAAATTACCTAAAATTTTACACCTTTTGCAAACAGTGGTTATAATTTGTAGGCATTAAAAGAAATACCAAAATACCTACAAAATAGATCAAACAGAATTATCTAAATAGGTTTTTAATTACTACAGAATTTGTTGAAATTTATTTATGAGCTAAAATGTATTCTGTTAAAAGTTTAACAACATACAGTTAGTTATCATGTCTCTGAAATGTAAACGTTTATCTCTTAAAAGTTGTACATTATCTCAAAGAGTAAAAAATTTACTACCATTACACGAAAGTTAGCGGAAATATTTGGTGTTGAAAGAACACAAGTGAAAGATATTTTAAAAAGTAAAATTAAATTAAAAAAACTTTTTGAAGAACGAGGATTTAATGTAGATCAAAAAAGTTTCCAAAAATGGACGGACTGGCGATTGACCAAATGGTTTATGATTGGTTTTGCAAAGCTAGAAACAAAAATGTTCCAATATCCGGACCATTGATTAAGGAAAAAACTCTAAAGTTATCAAAAAATTTAAAAATTAGTGACTTTAAGGCATAGAATGACTAGTTAGATAGCGTCTGCACAAGGCACGGTGTCAATTTTAAAACAATTTGTGGTGAGTTTGCTGATATCGATGAAATGAGTGTTCAAGATTGGTTAACTAAACTAAAATCAAGGATTATCATTTTAAAGATATTTTTAATGGAGATAAAACAGGACTTTATTATCTGGCAATGCCAAATAAAACTTTTGCTTTAAAGAGTGATAAAAATGCTTGAAGAAAATCTACTAAACAACGATTGACAATTCTCTTTCTTAAAAGAAAAAGTAAAAATCTGAATGGTTTTAAAGAAGCACACATAGAAAGATTACTATTAGAATGGGTCTATAATGGAAAGGCTTAGATAACAATGGAGATAATAGTTTCCTGGCTGAAAAACTGACAAAAAAATGAAATAGCTGAGAAGAAAAGGACTTTTATTTTTTAATAATACAACTTAGTAGAAAAGGAGTCATTTAAGCAGAATTTTTCTTTTTTTTCCTAGTTCTGGGAAAATTTGTCAACGTCGCAATGCATAAAGTAGATGATAAGTATTTTTACATTTCCCTAGATATCAAAAGATTTTGTAGCCAGAAAAGCCACAAAAAATAGGCAACGTCGTATTGTGACACGACGATTGGCTGGAGAGATCCCTTAGACAGATAGGAGCAACACAGAGCAGATTAATAGCCAAATCTGAAATCTAAAAACATCCTCAAAACTTATCAACTTTTTGGTATTTTTTCTAAGAAATTAATAACTTATACCCCCACCACAAAACATGCTAACATATTTAAAAATATTTTTAAAAACTAGAGTGCCAAATATGGACCTAAATTAGAAGAAGTTTCGATACCTACTTCGCGGAGCTTTTCACGTACACGGGGTGGTTTTAGTCACGAGTTCTGTGTATAGCCTTGTTCATTTCGTTGTTTGACAAACCTCTTACAACAGTTTGTTGTAAGAAAAATTCTCAACATCCGCTCGTGTGCTTTTTATAATGGGGGAAGAAGAACTATTTACAAAAAATAAAATTCGTCACGATCTGAAATTATAGTAGACGGTACTGATAAATGTTTCTATTTTTACAATTAAATATCAGTAATATTAATTGAAATCCGACAACCGGGGGTTGATAATTAATTTAAATAATTCTTATATATTACATATTATATTCAAATTTTTATTTCGAATTCAAACAACATCCCAGCGTATCCCGCCTCGTAGACGCCGTTTAATTACTTCTGGGAAAAGAAGTCGACGTGTAGACTCTAACGGTCGCTAGAACAAAACATATGTAAGACATTAGGGCTATATTCAGGAATTAATACAGAGCTTTATAGTCTTTAGGCACCGAAGTCACACTCGTTCTCTTTCCGATACATTTGCATGTATGGGAAATTTAAGTATAAATACCTTTGTTTTTGTGGGCTGGGGGAACATTAGCTTTTTCTTCTTCACCGAGTTAAGTTAACAAAAAAACGCAAATATCCACGTTACCTTTACGGTGACTCCTTGTTCTTTATATTCTTCAAATATAATTAAAAAGAGATATCGCTACCCTTACAGTAGCCGCGCTTTTGTTATATTTTGAGAACGGATACAAAAGATATCGACGGAGTAGAGAAATTAGTTTCTATATTTTATATATAAGTAAAAGGAGATATATAGTCAGGTTGACCAAGCAGATACACGTTGAATAGAATCTGATTTCGCTCCTAGAACTTTTTTGTAAGGTTGTATCTACCGAGCGACTAAAATATTGGCGTAACTGATACTGGTAATACCACACTAGTCTAGTTAAACGCCAGATATTTTATATCTCCGAGTCAACATTATAAAATGTTACTAAATGAATAAAAGTACTACCCTAGGCGACGTTCGTAGTGGATTTCGTCACCCTTCAGGCTGATCCGACGAACTTGCGCCCATTAGACCCTTTTATCAGCGGTATATTTTTTTTCTGTAAGGTTTCTTTTACGTAGAATTTAGACGATAATCGCACTATTAAAGTAATCAAACTAGTATTTAATATTCAGATATTCCGGGGGAGAATTTAGACTAACATTAATGGGTTACAGGTATCACTTTATTACTTTTATATTCATTAGCGGGAAAATTCGTGTCTGTGTGTTATTGTCATCTTTTTGGTATTCATTGATAAACGTTTATTGTGGGAAAAATTATAGGGTTTTATATTGTGCTAAATTATATTATTTAGAGAATCGATAGTGATGTTGTTGTCATAAATATTAATTGTTGTAAAGTCGGTCAACACTCTCAAGTAATAAATTAAGTCATTTAGATTTATGGCCAAAGGGCCGAATTGTAAAGTTTTGGTTTGTCTGTAAACAGTACCTGCCCATTTCAGTAAAGAGGAAACGCACTTTCGGTTTTGTTTTAAATGGCAAACAGATGTAGATTAGTAGGGTAAATGCCTTGATTTGTATATATTTTAAAGTTAGATTGTGATTAACAAATTTCTGTCGTTCTTTGTAAAACTAAATTGGGTAGACAAATGTGTCATTTTAGCCGGAAGGAGTGTTAGTTTTGTGTATCGATTTTTCGGGAAAAAGAAGATATGTAGAGCGGCGGGTAGAATCTTAAATATTGAGGGGGTTGGATTTATTTGTACATATCCACATATCTTTAGCGGGACATTGCGCGGAAGAAGTCGGTATGTTTGTTATTTATTTAGAATAAATAGGTGAAATTGGGTTTGTGGACTAGCTAACGTATCCTCAGAACTGTGATTATTAATAATGATTTGTCAATCGACAGAGCAAAAGAGCATCGCGCCGAAAAAGAGCCTTAGGCCACCATAGACCACCAGGGACCTCAATAGTAAGTGCCTAAAAATGGTATTTCCCTTGCGGCTATTTAAATTAAATCCTGATAGGAGCTTGGATGGATCTCTACTGATATACCCCAAAAGCGAGCCTGACGGGCATCCCCCTTTATATCAGGTGTTCTCCGATCGACCGTTCAGTGTTTTCCATACAGGACTGAGTATATCAGTACATTACGGCAAAGTACTTCCGACTTTTATTTTACCCTTTTATAGGAACTAAAAGCTCTGACACATTGGAAAGCCTACATAAACATAATGTTATTAAGCCTAAAAACGGCATATAATCTAAATGTCCGGCTGTACAAAAGAATAGATGGTAAATAAACAGTATTCCAAATTAATCTTGGTGTTTCCTTTGTTCTTTCTCCATTACAGCTACATTGAACTCTAAACATAATTCTGGGGGTTTTAACATCACTTCGTGGGGATCCACTAGACCAAATTTAGGCCAAGGTTAAGGGTATTTGGAAAACTAGGTTAGGGCCCGGTTTGTCAAGTTACATATGTTTATATATAATTTACAAAGACACCACCGACGTTCAGCTTAGAAAACACAGTTGCCAAACTGCAAAAATAAAATGGTGTGGTCAATTATATTACAGCTAAATGACTGTGTACGTTAGATGCATAGTAACCTTCGAGCAAATATGCTTGAACCGAGTGTCAAATAAATATTTTATGCCTGGCAACGCTGTACGATGAGAATCTGTCAGCTCGATTAATTAT